AAACAGCCAAAGTTAAACAATATTTTAATGGGGCATTAGAAACTTAAACGCGTGTTCAAAAGGGGATTAGTTTTTTATATACAGATAAAGTAGAAGAGAGTGTTGAAATAATACACAGGCTCCTCAAATCAAAGCATATTTTCTATAGATTTTGCACTTAAAAAGGACTCCTAGGCCGGGGACATACCTACTAATTAGCCCATTAAGGCCTAAGCACATGTTCAAAGGTGATTAGTGATTTTCTTAACCATATCATAGAGTGATCAAGATTTAAAAAAAAACAGAAACTCGACAAATGCAACCTTGACATATAATCGTGTCCACGTGTGTCTGATCTTAGTCCAATCGAAATATGTTCCCAAGAAAAAATATATTAAACAAGACAATCAAAACAGTACCCTTTTTTTTTCTCAAGAAACTAACAGAATTACAAGACAATGCTAAAGCCAATAACATTGTTACATGTTTCATGTTTTTCTTTTAATTTATTCAATCACATAAATGGCACGTGACCAAGTGACACTTCACCTTTTGGTCACAATAGTTAGAGACATGTCCATGTTTCCGCCGCCTAGTGCAGTTCCCATGACACCATTCTCACTACCTTAACCTTTGTGACTGGCAAATTGGTCCCCACCACACACCCCAATTAACATTTGTCATTACAATGCCTAGATGCATAGCATAATCAACATAAGCATTGATATGTTAGTGCTAAGTATATAGATATGTTAACTCCCTCTTTTGATAATTACAGTCTCAATTGATGTATTTTAAGGCAATTTCTTCCACTTGTTTGGTGACTATTAATATATACTCATGCTTTCTTACTTTAAAATTGTTTAATACAAACATTAAGTTAGTGCTAATTAGCAAGAGCCCACTAAAGACTAGGCTTAGTCATTCATAGCTATGCCTTTTCCTATATTTAATCTACTATCAACTACATGTTCATGATTCCAAACTATTGGAAAGCTTGCCTAACTAATTTGTATTTTAGACATCAAAGAAAAACTAATGGGCGTTTATAGACCAACAAACTCTATTGATTGGTGCTAAGAGCATTTATGAAAAAATCACTAGGTGATTGACTGCTGATGACATATGGCCAAAAACCATCACAAAAATATGGTGGAAGTATTATACCTTGAAGATTCTATATACCTTAGTTGGATGGCAAATTAATCTAAGAATACTATATAAATAATGTGTATTAATGAATCTCGAATCAAACCAATTGTTTAATTCTCATTATTTTGGATCACGGCATCATAAGATGCCATGCGTGTTCATGAATTTTTGTTATGAAAAATTATATTGGGAGCATTCTCACAATCTAATGTCAAATTGTGTCTATACGTCACATTCATTCCTTGTTGACATCTAAAAATTGATGCTATTTCATGGGGCATCTTTTTTTTCCCTTCATTGTTTTTCCTTTATCTTTAGTCCAATCACAAGAATGCATGATATCTTATCTCAGGTTTGTCCTTCTTCCCTTTATACGATGTAATTTGCTTTTTTAACTAACAAATATAATTTTAAAATTTCTTGTTTTTATTCGTATAATTTTTTTAATTATTAAATAAAGATAATATTAAATATATTTTCATATTTTTAAATAAGAAATACATGTTTTTATTTCATATTTATTTTATAACTATTAAAAAATAAGTAATAAGATACAATAAAAATCATTTTTTATTGGTTCTCATGCAGTCATATGTGTACCATTCATTGATTATTATACCAATACAATTCTAAAATGTGAAGTGGATAAACTATAAAGGCTTAAATGGACTTAGTTTTGGGCAATTTTATGGAGGGCTAGAATTGGCTTGGGAAGATGCATACATTCTAGAAAATGACTCAAAAGATATCTAATGCTACAAGCAACACAAATACTCTGCTGAGTAGAACTTGGGAGGAACTGTAGGAGACATGCACGCTAGATGGCTAAACTAAAAGCATTTTTGGACGAACTTATGTTAAAGAAAATAGTTACCTTTATATATAAAAATAAAAAATATTAGGATCAAATATAAGCAATTAATAATAGTAAAATTTTATTAAAAAAGAAGCATTTATTATTTTATTATAATTTTATTACAATAAACATGCATTTTTTTATTAAAATTTTTTATTTATAAATACATAAATTCGATTATTAGAGGCTAACAAAACCCTATTTTAAACTATTGTGGAAGAATATTACTGTGGCTAGTTGTTCTCCTTTTTTTTTTCCGGGGGCAAAATCTTTTCCTATTTCTCTTTGTTTTTTTTTTTTTCAACAACGTTTTTCCTATTTCTAAATGCCTTAATTTATTTTTGGTCGACTAAATATTTTATTTGGAAACAAAAATACCATTAGTGGCTCACTTCTGTGAGACTATACTTGGGCCCGAGCCCAATTGATTTTTATTGGCCCAATCATGACACCAAAACTGAACTCTTGTATGCATGTCGCAACCTTCTCTAAGTTCATCCAAAGATGCTAATAGTAGTGTGTTGACGTTTGTTTCCCGTGTAGGTTTATAAATATATGTACAATATAATTAGTATAAAATTTTAAAATATTTAACAAGGTTATTTTGCCAATAATATGACTATTTAATTTAAAGATTTTGTTAAAAAAACTGAAGATAAACAGTTAATAATAGTAAAATTTTATTAGAAATAGAAGTATTTACTGTATTTTTATAATTTTAATACAATAATTATATTTTTTTTTACAAAAAATTTCTTTTTTAAATACTTAAATTCAGTTCTAAGAGTTTAGGTTAACAAAACTCTTAATTTAAATTTTAATATAATAAAAGCATTTTTAAAAATTTCTTAAGACTAAGCAGTGAATGAATGTGTGAAATTTTTAAAAAAATTAATTTAGATTAAAAGACTTCGAGAGTTCCTGTAATTTCAATAATGCTTTTAAATTTTTTAATGGGGTCTTCGTACTTAAAATAAATAAATAAATAAGTTCTCACTCTTAAATTACCTTTAAAACTTTATTAAAATATAAAATTTATTTTAAAATGATATAAATTATAATATTTACTTAATAGATACCGCAACAAAATATATTTCTATATTTGATCTGAGTTTCCAAATCTGTTCCTGTAGTTTAGTAAAGTTAACGATTATTAATAAATAGGGTTTTTTAAAAGTTTTGAAAGTGGTTATATACTAAAATTATAAATATTTGTTTAAAAAATTATTTAAATTTTATGAAAATCTACAATAATTCAATAACTCAATTTCAATGTTTTTTAAATTTACATTTTTAAGTAATTATATATTAGTAATAACTCTTCGAAACCTAATAAATAATATTTTTTATATCATAATATCATATTTATATTTAAACTATTCATTTTTAAAAATATATTATAAAATATATTTTAAATTTTTTTATACTTCCCTAATTCTGTGATTTAGCTATATATAATATTACGATTAATATTTGCAAGTGAAACTGTTCTATCTGAATGTTAATAGATCTTAATCAAATCATATTCAAATATATATATACATATATATATATATATATATATATATATATAAATAAATAAATAAATAACCGTATACAATTTTATATGCCCATCCATTTCTATCTCAAGTCTAAAATTAATGTTGCACATGCGTTCACATTCAAAGTCATTTATATAGGTTAAAAAAACTCACCCATATAACTGCCCTAATTTTGTTTGGTTAGTGGAGTGTAATCAAATAAAGAAGTTTGTGATTATATTATTAGGAATATAGGATTGAATAATGAACTTAATTAATTTAGGAGTGGGTAATGTTTAATCTTAAACATACTGAGAAGATTTTATATGGCCGAATGTGTATAATGTACATACCAAGGTTGAAGTTTGACGAATATTTGTGTTATTAATTCTTAAAACAAGCTTTTATTGACTCCTGTATAAGTAATTGGGTCCACAAAGAAGAGTTAAGAAATGGAAGTGTTAGATGGTCGAAGCTGTTCATATTTTACTCACCTAATGCTCTCGCATAACAAGCCCATGAGAGAAGTCAAAATTCAACATAGGTGCCTGTGAGGGGCAGCTGCAAACTAAGCAAACATTTACAGTAAAAATGCCTACATTCAAACACATTTTTAAGTCAATCCATGCAGTGAATACAGAGAAAGAATAATAATTAAACATTTATAACAATTTTAAATCTATAAATAATTTATTGCATTCATACGTGAGATCCATATATTTAGTAGAAAGTCATATATTTAAATTTTATTTTATATAAATTCTTTTGAACTAATGAACAATCATGATCACAAAAGTTAATTTTAAACACTTTTTGTGCTATAAACTTAGAAAAAAAAATCATAATGTAAGAGCACAATACCTTGAATTATAAACCAGAAGATTTTAAAAAACAAAACAAAACTTTTTTTACGTTAATTTCATTCAATTTTGAACTATCTTAGCCATGAATTTCTCCAATTTGAATTTATATGTCTTTATTATTCTTTGTTTTCGTTCTATCTCATTACTCATCACATTTATTATTATTTTCCAACGAGTGTATGCACTGGTATTATATATTTGTTGCAGAGACTCGCTAATTCTCTTACTCGTTTACTTGTTGCAAAAACACTGCGGCAACACGGACACGATGCTGGCACGCGCAGCAGAGAACCTTTTGCGATAAACGACAAACCCCATGCAAGTCGTTCAAACTTGAGGCCGTCTAATAAATACCACCGTGTAATTACCTTTCTTAAATCATTTATTCTTCTTTATTTACAAAATCTTCAAACTTTCAACGGTCAACGTTCAAATACTCCTATATTCACAAAAAATATAAAATCACTATTCTATAGTTTGGTTTGAAAGTTGAAACATTCCTTCTTCCACCACTCATCTTACCTAGCTTTGACCCGCGTACCACACCCTCTCATTGCTATGACCCATCCTTATGTATCCCTCCTTCCGATATATATAAACCAACCACGACACTTTCTTTTCTTCATATAATTCCCTTCACATTCATCAACCCATTAACATAAACACTGCAACAACAACAAAGTTGTGTGCTTTGAAGCAAAATAAAAGATGGTTTTGTCTTGGAGCAGAAGAAACGTTTTCCGCCGTGCCCATAAGGGGAAAGATCACGTTAAAGGCGGTGAATTGGAGGTGGAGATTGTGATCCCTACCCATTTCAAGTGCCCTGTGAGTTTGGACTTGATGAAAGATCCCGTGACTTTATCAACTGGCATAACCTACGACAGGGTCAGCATTGAGAAGTGGATTGAAGCAGGGAACACAACATGTCCTGTTACCAATCTGGTTCTCACAAGTTTTGACATCATCCCCAACCATGCTATTCGGAGAATGATTCAAGATTGGTGTGTGGAAAACAGTTCTTATGGGATTGAAAGGATCCCAACACCTAGGATACCTGTGTCAAGTTACGAGGTTTCTGAGACATTTACGAGGATCTTGTCTGCTTCTCAGCGTGGTGATGACAACAAGTGTCAGGAACTGGTTGGGAAGATTAAGGTTTGGGGGAGAGAGAGTGAGAGGAACAAAAAGTGCATAGTGGGAAATGGGGTTGGTGCTGTTCTTGCTCATGCTTTTGATTCATTTTCAAGTGCTTCTATTGATAAGCACGTGGTTGTTTTGGAGGAGATTTTGGAGGTGCTGACGTGGATGATCCCATTTGGTGAAGAGGGTCGACGTAAATTGGGATCATTAGCTTCTTTGAATTCCATGGTTTGGTTTCTAGAGGGTAAAGATCTTGCAGCAAGACAAAATGCTGCTTTGTTGCTTAAGGAAGTGTCTGTTCATGATTTGGCCAAAGCTGGAGGAGTTGTTGAAGCTTTGGTTAAGATGGTTAGGGAGCCTATTGGGACTATTGCTACGAAGGCTTGTTTGGTAACCATTTTTAACTTGGTTTCCTCAGCGGAGAATAAGGAGGTAATTGCACAAAGGTTTGTGCAATTGGGTTTGGTTTCACTGCTTCTAGAGGCAATTGTTGAAGGAGAGAAAGGGGTATGTGAGAAGGCACTAGGGGTATTGGATTGCATTTGTGATTGCCAAAAAGGGAAGGAGGTTGTGCAAAGTAATGCTTTAACTTTGCCTCTTGTTATTAAGAAGATTTTGAGGGTGTCACAGTTGGCTTCAAGTTTTGCTGTCTCCATTCTTAGGAAGATTTGTGAGAAGAGGGAGGAAGGGGTTCTGATTGAGGCACTTCAAGTTGGGGCTTTTCAGAAACTCTTGGTTATGCTGCAGGTTGGTTGCGATGAGAGAACAAAGGAGAATGCTACCGAGTTGTTGAAACTGTTGAATGGTTACAGGAACAAAGTAGAGTGCTTTGACTCATCATTGGAGTTCAAGCATCTAAAGAAGCCCTTCTGATTAGCGATAAATGAAAATGAGATTTATTTATTTATTTTTGTATAGGTCTTGTTGAAAAGCAATTCTTTCCTGTAAAAAGATATACTCATAAACACAGCATGGAAATTGTATGCTCAAACATTCAATTGATTCTTGGAATTCATTCTTTGGAAAATTGATTCGAATTAATTAGAACATAGTAGTTGGATTTGCAAAAACAGAGAAGCATCCGTCTGTCATTTTGTCTTCCATATAGTTTACAATATTGTTTTCAGATTGATTTTGAAGCAAGATGAATAAACCAATAAGAACTTCAAATACAAATCGAATGTACAAAAATCAAAGACATAGTGAAGAGAAAGATCACACCGTTCAACAATATTTTGCTAAAGCCAATTTAAACTTGAAGAATGAAGAGTTTATTCAACTCAACTGTACTTTTTGAAAGTAAATGTTCTTAAGATATAATACAAAGTTGTAAACAAAGAAACATGCGAATTCTAGACCATGTGTCGATATGGTGACTTATTTTCGTGTCCAGAAGCATATTAAAAGCGAAAAGCAAATTGGCAATGATAACCAAATATCAAACAATGATAACAAGCACGTGGCACTTTTCAATGGAAAAATGGGTTAGTCCAAAAGCCTTGATGATTAACATCTCCAAAAGATACTGCATCATTCCCACCACCACTATTCATCAAATTGATAAACCAGTTCTGCTTCTGCATGAGATCCATGTTCATATCAAACCCCTGGCCATGACTCCCTTGTGCCTTATCTTCAATCTTGGCTACTCCATCAGTCACCATTGGTGGGGGCATTTGGACTTGACTTTGAGCATTCTTAGTCAACACTTCAATTCTTCTGTTGATGTCCTTCAAGTTCTGATCAATCAACCATGCCAAATCATTCAAATCAACCATGCTTATATTGTGCATAATTTTACCTGCACTAAGGTACTGAAACATGAGTTGAGTCATCTCCTTTTCCCTATTATCCTTCCTTTGTTTCTTCAATTGCTCTTTGGCCTTTAGGATCCTTTGCCTCAGAAAACTCTCTTGGTTCACCATCTTCTTGCTCTGTTCCAATTCAGGCATTCTCCTGAACTTGGCAAGCACCCTTTGAACGCCCATTGGAGATGGCCAAACCTCTGGTTGAGGATCATAAGGACTATAAACTATAGCACAAGCATCAATCCCACAAAGGGTGCTAAGCTCACTAACCTTCTTCATTAGACCCTTCTTCCTTTTCTTGAATGTTGCCTTCCTTGCAGAGTCATTGGCTATGAATGCAAGTTTCACCTTCTTTCTAGTCATGATGCTGATAAAACAAAAACAGAAAGAACAATATGTAAATTGGAAACGTTGTTTCTTGTGGTTTTCTTATTCAAGCATTCTCTTCTTTATATAGATCATTTCCAGATAACCAAATTTATTTCACATTATGTCCTTATTGACAGCATTAACATGAGCCATTCAATACCAAAGATATGTGTTATGACTAGGAGATGTTGAGTTCAAGTGTTCTTCTATCTATGGAGGATACAGATGTATTTGTTACTAAGATGTTTCAGTGGTGTAATTAGTAATATAAGTGTGAAATTCAATGGTGAAATCGAAGTGCATTGAGAAAATTTATTATCATTAGATGCATAGAATTTGTAGATTGTAATTGTATTGTTACAATTAGTGTTATATATGCAAGATTTCTACTGTATTCTGATAAACCTATCTATGACACATGCTTCAGTCTTGAAATATAATTGCCTCATTTCCTTTTATGATAATATATTCATATATAAACACACAAGATTCTCAATATCATGTATTGGTTGCATGTTATCAAATAATAATCCTCCAACTTATGAAATTAATTGGTAAGGAAAACAATTCCATGAAAGTCATGTTAATCCTACTTTAAAGAGAATGAAGAATTATCATTTGAAAATCTAAAGAAAACAAAAATGCTATAAATATCAGCGGAATAAGAATAAGGAAATGGTGTGTGTGACAGCTGTGTGTGGTTGATTGATTTTCCTGACTTCATAAGAGATCTTAATGTAGTAGTATAACACTGTAATTAGTAATTCAAAAAAATCCTAAAATAGTCTTTATTGCAATATTCTTAATATGGAAATATAATTTAGATATCACAGTTCTAATATATAGAATCACAATTATGAAATCATTAAGCCACGATATCCCTTTGATATTTCAATAGCAAAAAAGGCCTTTAACTAATTAAATGTCATAAATCAGTAGTATCGTTATGTCATGGACAGTGGTGGCAGATCTTTTCAAATTATGAGATGTATAAGAATAATAGACTGATTCTTTATTTCTTTTATACTGAATAACAAATGAGCCCTATGACACAATTACAAAGGTGTTAGACGACATTAATAAGGAATTAAGTTTTCAATTTTAACGCTACTTCATTTGGTGAAAATAACACACACAAAAAAAGAGTCTGATAAAAATTCAATAACATAAGAGCATAATAAACCCATATCCTATCTTACCCTTATGCATATCAAGATAACAAATTATGTAGCATTGTATCATTTTTATCTTATCTATTTATAATTCAATTTTTTTATAGGACAAAATTTATGCAAGAAAGATTAGGATAAACTTTTAAATAAACACAAAAAATAAGAGAAGATAAAAAATAGTATAGTATTCTTATTCTTTCATAATGATTTTATTCAAATTTTATTGTTTTCTTATTACTTAAGTATTATAAAACATGTATAAATAAAATCCAAAGAGATATTGAAATAAGTAGTATTTTAAAGAGAAAAGCTTATATGAGAGTTAAATTCTCTTTGAATTTTTAAGAACTGTAGACTTATCAAGATTATTCAATTTCATACCGTTTAATCCTTTTATATCATAGGTTTATATATGCATATAGAATCTTGGTCCGTCTAAAATTTTCTTCCTTAATTTTGGATATTATATTAATGTTTGTGGTTCCAAGACATTATTGAGTTGGGTGGCATTCAAAGGTTTCCTTGCGTTTTTATGCTTTGATTAGCAGTGGGCTGCGGTTTATATATACCAAAACTCTTACTTTGTTATACGAGATACAATTGATTTACCCCAAGGTTCTTCTTTGATGAGTTATGAATCATGAGATTTGCTCTCAAATCTTGAGTTGGAAGATTTCGGGTATATTGCGTTTGTTTGTGAATTTGAGGTCCTTATATCTCAGATGTGTTTATGTCAAGAATTATAATGGCCCTTTTTATATGAAATAACGTTGTTGATCTTATGAAATAGTTTTGCATATTTTGTTTTGCATAAGGAAGAATAAAGCTTGAATATTCTGCAAGAACGATGATGTATTAAATAAATTTTAGATGAGATAACCACCACGACTCATATGTAGAGTGTCTAATAATAAATACAAAGACATATCAAGCTAATGTAATTTCTGCATAAGTTCATTCTGTGTAAATTTTTTATTTGTTTAGAAAGCTGTAACAAGTCTCGTCAGTGATTTCGGTTTTATATATCAACACTTTTAATGATCACTTTTAAAAATTAAATTATCTAATTACATGATATTTAACGATACACATATATAACTTGTTATAACAAATTATTCACTGTTTATTAATAACCTTGAGTGGAAGGATAAAATTATAAATAAATTATAAACAATAATACTTCTTTGGGACAAAAATAACCACGGTGGAGAATAAAAAAATTAAAATAAATGAACAAACTTTGATTTATTAAAATAAAAAATAAATAAAATATTGACTGAATTTAAACCAGTCCTTGTTTGGAAACAGAATAAAAACCGTACGATTGTTGTGATCTTTATGAAATCTGAAGCCCTGCCAAGTGCACATTCATAATCAGAGGAAGTAAGCTAAGAAGCCGGAGTAGAAGGGAACAAACACACTGCACCATTCTCACTAGGGTTTATTCATCCATGGCGCAAACGTTATTCTCGCTGTTCTTCCTCTTCTCCCTCTTTCACCTTCCCTCCTGCTTCTCTGGTACTTCGTTGACTTCAATCTCCGATCACGATTTTTTCACAAAACCTTGTTTCAACTCTCATTTCTCACTGATCGCGTTTCCTTTTCACAGGTCAATCCAGCTCCATGGAATCAGTTCCTGACCTTCAGAACACCATGTACGCGGTCATCGATGGATATCCTTGTGTGCGTCTGCTAAATCTTTCTGGACCTGTTGGTTGTTCAAGTGAGCCTTAGTATCACTCTCTCTTTTGTATTTGTATCATTAATTGCGATTTTAGGGATTAATTGTGATTTAAATTATGATAATTGCTAAGCTGGTGAAATTGTTCTTTCCTTTTATCGTTTTTGAATTATTAGATCCTGGGCGAGATAAGGTTGTGGCTCCAATAGTAAGGTTTGAAAATGTTGTTGAGCTATCGCAGCCATCTGCTATATTGGTGTCATTGGATGATTTTCCGACTCTCTTTACCAGGTATCGTATTTCATTGTTTCTGTTTAAGTGGTGCTAACTTCATTGCATCTTAGCCACATGTTGTGGATTTTGTAATTTTGCTTAGAGCTAACAAACATCTATGGGAGAAGAAAATAAAATGAATCACGGAGGTGAGTAAAATGAATCTAACTTCTTGAATAAATTAAAATTACCTTATGCATCTCAAATTTTTCAGAAGCTCGCTTATCTAACTTCTCCATAAGCACCTACATATTTAACAGAGATAGGCACTTTTGTCTTAAGAAAGTCTTAACTATAGGGTTTTACAATTGAAAAGGTCTCATAAGCCAGAAACTGATCCGAACTGAGCATTAGTTGCTTTTAAGTGATGTTGGTTGGTAATAGTGTATATTTATTTGTGATTCGTGAAGTTGTGTTTGATTTCTAAACATGATATTTCCTTTTCAGAATATCGGATGACTTAAGCTTTGCAAGTAAAGTTGGTGGTGTACTAGTTGAACCGAAAACTGTTTTGCAGAATAAGTTACAGGGTAAATAGCATTGGTTTGGTAATTGTCTGTTTTCAAACGAAGTTAGAGTAATTCTTACTTGTAAAGTTGCTTGTGATAATGTTTTTTTGTCACTTGTAGGATTATCTCCTGATCTGAAGTTCCCACAAGCTCAATTTGCTCCTTATCATAATATCAGCTACGAATGGAATCCAATTGTGTGATATGAACTTTCTCTTTCATCAAGTTTCTTAGCATAATTATAGCTCATGACTACGTTGATTATTGGCCCTTTTTTTGCTTGTTTTCACACACATTTTCTAACTTTAATTTGATCATTTTTCACAGTATGAAAGTTAGATTACGTTCTGGTTTTCATAAAGTTCTTAATTTTGATGGATTGACATTGTTAAAATTAAGTGACATGGAGCTATCATTAAAAAGACAAATTATCAATCAAGCATGTCTTGGATTATGATCATAAGCATATAGTGATATTAGATGAATTTGAAAATTCTATGGAGGGAATATAACAAATTATTTGCTGGATATTTGATTTTGCTAATGTTATTTCAATCTTGAGACAACACAAATAATTTTTAAAATGATTAATTTATTGGTGTTTTAATTTTTTGGCTTTACGTGTGCAGGGTTCTGGTATTATGTGGCAATCCTATGGCTTTCCTGTGTTCTTACTTGCAGAAAGTGGCACAAAGACTCTTCAAGAGGTGTTGCTTAACAGTTTCATGATCTTACACTTGCATGATACTAGTCACTAGTGATGATTTGTTGCACTTTGAGATTGTAGTTGGTTAGACAATTAATTGATCTGTGTAGCCAGCCGCACCTAGTAAGGAAATGCTTGGTTATTGTTTTATTTTTATATTAGGTCAGATGTTTTTTCTTTCATTTTTTGGCTAACCTATTCAAATCTACATTTATTTTTTGTGATATTGTTTATTCAGTTGGCATTAAATTAATAGTGCCCTGATTTGATATAAATATTATTATTCTGTATGTAAAAGCAAAGTATGTTAATTCTCTTTCCTGTATGCACAGTTTGTAACAAAGAATGAGGACAAAAAGAAAGCTTATACTTACAATGTGGCTGAGTTTGATCTGGTGATGCAGGTAAGATCCAGATTCTTGTAAAGAATTGTTATTTTCTGGCTTATGAAGAAAAATGTTTAATTATTGTTTTATTATCTTGGATTAGACAGTAAAATCTGGAACACATGATTCAGAATCTTGTTTAAAAGAAGCAACTTGCCTCCCTTTAGGTGGATACAGGTGAAGTTTCTTGGATTCTACTCTATAAATTCTGTCTGTATAAAATTTGTGATTTTTTTTTTTAGGGAAAAAAAAATGGGGTCAAGGGTAGCTATCCCATTTTGTAGTTATGCAAGATTATGCCACAAGTCCATATGATTTTATGAACAACGTTCAGAACTTTATGTTAGATAACATTTTGCTGCTAAGAAGCCTAAACTAGATACAAGGTCAATCATACAACACAGTGAAGACAGATTTTTTAGATTGTCATATATAAAATATGATCAGCGGTGAGTGTATATTGCCATTAGGAATGTGTGCTTATGTACTGGAGAAAACATGGAGTGAATTCCAAAAGATGGAATGATATTATCTTGAAAATGCAAAAGATTAAGCTCTTCCATAGTGGATCTACATGGATAATATCTTAATATTCTCCCCTTCTCATTTTGTGGACAAAAAAAAATCTTAGCATTGTTATGTTTGATGATATTAACTTTGTGTATGTTTCATATGGAAGGCAGTGTCTGGTCATCTCTTCCTCCAATCAACATCACATCCTTAAAACAGTCTAAGCCCATTATATTGACTGTGGCATCTATGGATTCTGCTTCGTTTTTTCGAGATAAAAGCCTTGGTGCAGACTCCCCTATTTCTGTATGTGCAAGTGCATCTACTGAAGTTTTATTTATTATCTCTGGTCACATATGATTTTTCTTTATGATATTTGCTTGTTCCTAAATCACATTATAGCCTAATGTGTTTACTACTTTACAGGGTTTAATTGCATTACTGGCAGTTGTTGATGCACTTTCCCATTTGGATGGTCTTGATGTCCTTAGTAAACAGGTGCATATAAGATGATTTAAGGATCTTTTTTTCTTTCAGTTTTTGGACCTTGTGTAACTGTAACTTAATTTTGTTCATTGTCCTGGAGCTGTGACTTTATCGAACTTTTGCAGTAAGTTTGGTTTTTCCTTACCCTGAAGATCTTTGCGTGGGGAAAAGTTATCCTGAGACATATCTTAATTATTGGTGATCTTTTTGAGGAATTTGAGATAATTATCTACCATCCTTCTCAGCTGATAAGATTGTGGCTAAATTTTGTTATTGGGACTTCAGTAATTGTTCCAATGGCAGGAAAGTTTTGGTGTTCTTCCTACCATCCCAGGGAGGGTGGTAGAAGAATAACTGTATTGGGGTCTATCATATATACGCACATTACAGCTCCATTTGTCTGGTGCTTTATGTTTTCAAACTGTCAGGGTTGCTTTTTAGAACCTTTTAATAATCAAGAATCATTTATGTACTTGACTTACATTTTCACTACTTGTCTAAACTCATTGCTGATGGTTTCTTAAACTCATTGCAGTTTGTTTTTGCTGTTTTCACTGGAGAGGCATGGGGTTACCTTGGAAGTAGGAGATTTTTGGTAGAACTTGACATGCACTCAGATGCTGTTAATGGCCTTAATCATACATTAATTGAAACGGTATTCCTTATCTTCCTAGTAAATATGATTACTGGATAGTATTGGAGGGTGATCTAATGCGCTGCATTTAAATTTATAAGCTCTGTTTATAAATGCCACTTCTCTATGTTCATTTTTTTCCTACTAATAACCTAACTTATGCTTTCTCATTGGGTGTTGCACAGGTCATTGAAATTGGTTCTGTTGGAAAGGGTCTCAATCAAGGTGTTAAAAACTTTTTTGCTCATACAGAAGGGGTGAGATCTTGATTGATCTGTCAACTATGTGCATACTCATGCCTCTTAGAGAAAATTTTGCAATTTTAATTGGATTTTGTACATCATATTACTTAATTTCTGTGTGTGCCTTACCAGAATTAGAGAATCTTACCAAATCTATTTATGACAGACATTTCATTAATGCAGGATTCCTCTGCCACAAATCTGACAATGACTGCCTTGAAACGTGCACAAGAGTCACTTCTATCTGAAAACATAAAGATAGCTTCTGCAAGTGCCTCAAATCCTGGGATACCTCCATCCTCTTTAATGACCTTTTTGGAAAAGGTTCTGGATGAGATGTTTTATTTTCCCTCCTATAATGATACTGTGAAAAGAGCTTGGCTAGGAAGCACACCAATGCTTACTAGAATATAAATCACGAGTAAAATGGGGGTAGACGCTAAAATGACTGATGCTTTTAATCGTAGGGACTAAAATGGCAGTATACTCAAAATCATGTATGACTACTAATCAGTGGTTTGTTAAAAGTGAACACTTTAATGTTCTGACTGGTAAAGTTCATTGGTGAAATTCTTCTCAATGAGGACTTGGTGAATTAAGTCTGTGAATATGGTGCTTCAAAAGTTCTAAGGAGCATTCTTGATCTGATTGTTCCAATTTATGCTTTCTCACAATGCATATAATTTGATATAAAACACACAGATTTTCCTTATTTGGATAGACACTCAATACAATCATGAAAATGATATTAGACTTGTGAACATCACATTTTGAATGGAATCACTAAGAGTGAACCCCATATTTAAATGGTGGGCTGCCGCCAGGAACAGATTGCAAGAACATGTTCAAATCAAAAGGTTATGCTTGCTAACTATGCAACTATATCAATGAGTTAAGGAGAAGATGCAGTGGACCCAATTATTAATCTGCCATGTTGCATCACATAATTCGTATTGGCGTAAATTGATTGCTTGTATTAATATGCTATGCTGAATAACTTCATTGGTATTGGCATATCATTCCAAAGTTTTCCACTGTTCATTCATCTTTTGTTCTTTTTCTTGTTTTTATCAGAATCCTGCAATCTCTGGTATTGTCTTAGAAGATTTTGACTCTGTCTTTGTCAACAAATTCTACCATAGTCACCTTGATGATATATGTGAGCTAATTGATGCTCTTGACATCATTTTCTTTTACTCTACTCAACTTGTCCTAAATTTTTATGGCTGTCTCTTATGTCACATGCATTCTTCTTTTGTATGATTAATGCAGCAAATGTAAATTCATCAGCAATAGTTGCTGCTGCTTCTCTTATTGCCCGAACCATTTACCTGCTTGCAAGTGAAATTAAAGATGTACAAGATTCTACTTTGGCTGCCATAAATGTAAATGCCTCACTTGTTGAACAACTTATGGGTTGCTTGTTGGACTGTGATCCTGGTCTTTCTTGCGAATTGGTGAAGAAATATATTTCACCCACGTCAACCTGTCCGAGCCATTATGTTGGTGTTATCTTAGATGAACCTTCATCGACCCCTAATACAGGATACATTAATGATGTTCCCAGGTTCATCTGGAATTTTCTAGCTGATAGAACTTCTATCCCAGGGGAGAATAATAACTCAGATTGTCATCAAGGTTGCCATGGCAAAGATGAAGTTTGCATTAAAGCGGAGACTGATGAGAAGGGAATTTGTGTTCTCTCTACAACAAGGTATTTTCCTTGTCTAGAGATAGTTATTTGATTTAGTAGACCGATTTGATCCTGAATACTATTGTTGTGGTGTTGAACCTATTCGTTACTGGTATTTAGAGTTTCTTGTTGGTTGTTCTTTTTCCAGCATTAGGCGTACTTGCTATCATTAAATGTTCTGCCTCTATAATTGGTTGAGCTTTACTGCCCATGGAATTGTAAAAGTGATATATCTTTCATCTTATGATCCGAACACAGGAAGCTGAACAATACCATGATGGAACATAAAATTCCTGCATGTGACTCCTTAGGTTAAAATGAAACTGTGACTTATTTAATGTTGTTTTTCACCTTTTCTGTTTAACCATGATTACCAGTAATTATGGGTTAACTATCCCATCCCATGGTTACTGTCAGATTGAAATGATGTTTGACCTTTTTTGTTAATTTAAATTGAATGTATGATTTTATGAATCAAATTGAAATTGGCAATGTATGCATTAAATATGTTTGTGAATTTCATATGACAGTGTACTATAGGTGTTTGTTTTTATGTTGGAAAATGATCCTAACCCGCTTCCCTCCAACACAAAGAAAACACCCACGTCAGAGATTGCACACAGGTTCACACACGCAGACACATTATTTACCACACTTCAATATTAAACTCGTTTTGCACACTCAAAAGAGTTGTTTCATTCTGTCTCATTAAATGGGCTTTGTTCTAGAATCTATACCACATTTAAACTTTACAGTACAATTGGCTACTTGTTGAGTATGCTCATGTGATGTACGTAATTGGGTAGATTTACCTGATAAATCATTTATGTATTTATATGCCGGGTTCCACTGTCCACATTAATGTTTAATCCTCTACAGGTATGTTCCAGCATATTCAACACGGCTAAAATTTGAATCAGGAGTGTGGAATGTTTTGCCCCCTAATTCCTCTGACAAAATGGGGATTGTGGACCCTGTCTGGACAGAAAGCAACTGGAATTCAATAGGTATGCGGGTCTACACAGTCCAAATTGCTGCTTACGATCGTCTTGTTCTATTAGGGGGTATCACTCTGACAATCTTGGCATACCTTGCAATAGCAATGACAAGAGCTTTTGTTACCAAAGCCATGAAGAGGGATTGACTTTTTATTTCCAGAAACTGACAACTAAATTTTGAAAACTAGGGTAAAATTATTTAGGGTCATTTGATGGGCAAATTACCAGTTTCTGAATTTCCAAGGATGTGCATTATTTTGGCCACATTCTTGTGCTCGTGAATTCTATTTCGAAATTTCTCTATAACACGATCATTTTTTTCACTTGTAGGTAAGGAAATGTAATGAAAATAGTCAAAATTAGCTTTCGTGTATTTGTTTTTTCCTTTGCCAATGTAGTGCTGTAAATGTCTAGTCAGTAACTATATTTGGTTAAATTATTTTCACTATTATCGTGACTGAGTTTTAATTTGTTGCTCGGCGTTGAGAATTATAATGTAGGGTTTAACTGTTTAATGGACGGATAGAGAAACTTGTTGCTCCTACTTTTACCATCGTATTGATTGTACCTCTCGTTGACTAGCATGGTGGGGATTTGTTTGTCTTTTGTATTTAATTGAATGAGATTCAATTTTACAAATTAATATTTCTTAACGTATTGGATAAGATTGACTTAATGCTAGCGTCCACACTTCATTTATTCCCATCATCCAATTAAGTTTTGGGATTGATGATAATTTTTAAAACACTACAAAATGAACTAATAATTATTCTCTCCTAAAATTATCATTTTGCTAATGTGTTTTAAAAATGATTGTTCGTCTGATAACTGAAAATTGTTTCATATTATTGCACATTTGACACTAGTAAATAAAATGAAATTGAATAAAATTATTATTATTATTTTTAATAAATACCAATGTTTTTAACCAAATGAGACTGTCAAACCTGTCAATTCTTGTTTAACTTTTAATTAATTGATTGGGCTAATTAAACCATTGATTCTTAATAGCACTATATTCATTTTAATTTATACAACCTGATTACAAAGTTATGCTGTAGCGGTCAAGTTAGGTTTTACTTTAAACAAATTTGGCTTGTTACATAATTATTAGGCCTGAGTCTAGCATGTTACCTGTTAAAGACTTTATTTTAGGTCTGGCCTGGCCTGTTTAAGTGACTTGACCTATCCTGAAGCCTGTTAACAAAGCCTGTTACAAAAAAAATAATAATAATAATATAAATATTTTATTATTAAATTAGTTTATATATTTTTTTAATTTCTATCTCTGTTATTAATAATTATAATAATATTAATATAATTTTATAAATAATTTTTAAAATATTATTTAAGTATTAATTATAAATATTTTATATTAATAAAATATTTATTTATATTTTTCTTGATTTATTTTTTAAAAATTATATAAATAGTAAATATTTTAGTTTTATTTTAGAAACATATTTTATTTGTTTAAAGACATCTTATATTCAACAAATAAAGTTACAGTAAACGTATAAAATTGATAAAAAAAAATAACATTCACACAATTTCTTGAATCAATTAAAAGAAAATTACTGTTTTAAAAAATAAATAAATTTAAACTTAATGCAATATATATATATATATAATGACAATAATAATAACTATTAAATTAAAAAAATAATTACAAAATATTTAATTTTATTTGTTTCATTAATTTTTTATTTTAAATTAACAAATAAACATAAAATTAACTACATTATAACATTAATGTAATATAGAAAATATTACTCATACAATAAATTAAAACATATACTTATATATTACATATAAATTGATAAATTAACTAATAATTTAATTAATACACGTACAAGTTACAAAAATATATATTATTATATAATTTATTTATAATTATATTATTTATATTATTTGTTACATGGTCTGATTACATATATATATATATATATATATATATATAATTTTTTATTTTATTTTCTTACCATTTTTTATAAATTTTTCTTTTCAAATAAAATATAATTTATATTTAAACAATTTTATTTATTATAAATATAAAAAATTATAACATAATATATTAATATAATAATTAAATATTAATAATAATAAAATTAAAAATATAAAAAATTTATTAAAAGAATATTAATATTTTAATTTTAAATTTTAATTCGTTTAGTTTTGATTGTGTCTTATTCTTCTTCAGCTTGTTTAAATATAACAAATATAATAATTTATAATTAAATAAATTTATTTTTTAAACACTTGTAATCATGTATAAATATTTTTAGTTTTGAATATAATATAATTTTTATTTATTATAAATAAAAAATTGTAACATAATAAATAATATAATAATTAAATGTTAATAATAATAAAATTAACAATATAAAAAATAAATTAATATAATATTATTATTTTATTTTTCAATATTATTTTTTTTAATTTTAACTGCATTCTAATCTTATTTGAAAACTTTGCTACTTTTCAATTTGTTCAAACAAATATAATAATTTACCTTATATTTAGATTCAAAGTAACTATAAATAATAATAAAACAATAATAAAAAGTAAGTGTGATATCAACTTTGGCTTAGAGGCATGTAGTTGTGCTATATTTGTGATTTGTTGTGATGTAGTGAATATAATCAATAAAATTTTTTATTATAAATTTTATACCAATAAAATTACTTAAGAAAAGATAAAAAATAAAATAAAATTTGTATAATATTAAAAATTTATAATGATTGTTGTTATTGAATAATATTAATAAAAATATAATTATTTTATTATCAAATTAATTTTTATATATTCAAATTTTTATTTGTGTTATTGATAATTATTAAATAATTGTAATAATTTTTAAACAAATTTATAAATAATTTTTAAAATATTATTTGAGCATTAATTATAAATATTTTCATATTATAAAATTTTTATATTTTTATTTTCTCAATTTAATTTTATAAAATTATTAAATATTTTAGTTATTTTTTATGATAATTATATTTTGTTTGTATAAAGACATTTTATATTCAATAAATAAAATCACAGTAACTACATAAAATTAATAACAAAAAATAACATTTACAAAATTTATTGAATCAGCTAAAAAATATTATATTTTAAAAAGTAAATAAATATCGTCATTATAAAAATTGTAAATAAAAAATATTTATATTATAAAATTCATAGATGTAGAAAAATAACATATGAGCATAAGAAAAATTATTAAAATTTATATTTAAATTAAAATAACTTATATTTCTAAATTTTTATTTTAATTAAAAAATATGTAATAAAACTTAATATAAAAATTTAAACTTAATGTACTCTATATATATAATGATAACAGTAATAATTATTAAATTAAAAAAATAATTATAAAATATTTAATTTGTTTGTTTCATTAATTTTTTATTTTAAATTAACAAATAAACGTAAAATTAATTACACTATAACATTAATGTAATATAGAAATTATTAGTTTATTATTAATACAATAAATTAAAACAAATACTTATATATTACATATAAATTGATAAATTAACTAATAATTTAATTAAAACACATACAAGTCACAAAAATATATATTATTATATAATTTATTTATAATTATATTATTTATTACATGATCTGATTATACTATTTATTATTATAATAATTTTTTATTTTATTTTGTTATCATTTTTTAATAAATTTTTACTTTTAAATAAAATATAATTTAAATTTAAGCAATTTCTATTTATTATAAATAAAAAGAATTATAACATAATATATTAATATAAAAATAAATAATTAATTTAATAATAATAAAATTAAGAATATAAAAAATATGTTAATATCATTTTATTATTTTATTTCGTTTAGTTTTGATTATGTCTTATTCCTGTTTAAAGACTTAACTATTTTTTAAATTATTTAAATATAATAAATATAATAATTTATTATTAAATAAATTTATTATTTAAAAAGTGTAATCATGTATAAATATTTTTAATTTTTTATAGAATATAATTTATGTTTATTATAATTATAAATAAATAAAATTATAACATAATATATTAATTTAATAATAACAAAATTAAGAATATAAAAAATATATTATTAAATAACTTAATTATTTTAATAATTATACTTTTAAATTATTATATATATATATATATTTATGTATTTATTTATATTTTTATACATGCTGTCCTATCAAGCTTAACAAACTTTAAAAAAAATTTAAGTTTAATTTATTTATTAAAATAATTAGACCTAAATCAGACCAGGCTATAGGCCCTATCTGGTGGCCAAGCCTGTTTCCATTCTTAGCAGCAGGGGAGACACGGTATATAAATGCCTAGTTTTTTTTTTTGGTCAACATATTAAAATGCCAAGGTCTAACTTGTTATTTTGTCTTGAGTCGGTTAATGGGCCTTCCAAAGAAATCTCGTAACTTCATATTTCAACGTTGACATTGAAAGGCCTAAAAAGCATATTTGACCAATAAAAAGAAAAGGCCTAAAAACAATTTGCATTCATTTTCGACCATGAATTATAGTATCGAGTCGGGTCAAACCCAGATCGTTTGTCGGATCAGCCGACCCACAACTGAAAATCCATTTTCTTCTCCAACCCCCACACACACACACTCACATCGCAACTTCAAAAATCAAAGATTCCTTCAACGATCTGAGACCCTTCTCTGTGGCAGCACCAAATCAGAAAGAAAGTCACAAAATCTAGACAGAGATATACATAGAGAGAATCAAAAGAAATGGGGTTGGGTTTGTTAGCTTCCAAGGCCATGAGACCCACCTCAAGGCTCCTCACTTCCCCAAACCCTAACAACTTCCTCCTCCGTGTCCGAACCATCGTTTCCAAACCTCAGCTTCGAAATCCAGAAGCTTCCACCGCTCAGGCCGAGCAGCCTCCGCCGGCCGATCTCCCGCCCCGTACTCCACTCGCCGGCGCACGTGTTCACTTCACGAACCCGGACGATGCCATCGAGGTGTTCGTGGACGGTTATCCCGTGAAAATTCCCAAGGGAATGACCGTTCTTCAGGCCTGTGAGGTCGCTGGCGTCGACATCCCTCGCTTCTGCTACCACAGCAGGCTCTCCATCGCCGGCAACTGCCGTATGTGCCTCGTCGAGGTTGAGAAATCCCCTAAACCTGTTGCTTCTTGCGCTATGCCTGCTCTTCCTGGTTAGGTTCTTCCATTTCCTTCTTATGATTAGTTTTCTGTTGATTCTGTTACCGGTTTTCATTTTAGTGGTGACTTTTGTGTCTGCTTTGTGATTAGTTGATAAGTCGACGTAGTTCGTTAGTGTTTGATCTTGTTCGTGATTAGAGTGACTCCAAATTATTTTTTTAAATTTGATTAATTTTGCTGTCTTGTTTCTACGAGCATAGAATTTTAGAGACACATTATCAAACTTAGTTGATGATTGTCTAGTTTTTCCCTGTTATGCACTTATGCTCCGATTTCTAGTTAATTGGATGTGTTACAAACTTTGATCGGTTCACGTGATTTGCACATTGTAGTTTGTGGATAATGGTTGTGTTTAGTAATGATCTATGTTTAGTTTATTGTTAAGTTTTTTCATTTTTTAAAATGTAAAATACTTTCTGCATATTCTCATTATTTCCAGGTTTTCTCTTTATTTCTTTATTTGCACATAATTTTCTTTTTAAATTTATTATATTTTTAATTATAAGAAATTTTGAGATAAAATTATATTTGTCAGTTTGTTTTGCTGATGGCATATTTTTTTTTTTCTATAAGCTCTTACTTTTATACTCATTTAGAAATTACTTACACTACCGCATGTAAAAACAGATAAACATCCTTTATTTTTTTGTTTTTTAACCAGTCGCTTCTGAGATTCTTGTTAAAGATGTATAATCTGATAAGATGTTCATCTTTAGGGATGAAAATTAAGACTGACACACCTGTGGCAAAGAAGGCTCGAGAAGGGGTGATGGAATTTTTATTGATGAATCATCCATTAGATTGCCCAATTTGTGATCAGGGTGGGGAATGTGATCTTCAGGATCAGTCAATGGCATTTGGCTCTGATCGTGGTCGGTTCACTGAAATGAAGAGATCCGTGGTGGATAAAAACCTTGGACCTTTGGTGAAGACTGTGATGACTCGGTGCATTCAATGTACAAGGTCATTATTGGACAAATCCTTTTTTCCACCCAAATTTGATTATGGTGAAATGCAGATTTAAATAAACATGCTACACATTGGAAGTTGTATTATGACTTGTTGCTTCTCAAAAAGAATATCATATACTTTGATGATTTATATTATGTTTATGTATGACAGATATTCTTGTAAATATTAAGGACCCCATGAGTTGCGCAATTTCACTTGAAATTGAAGAAGTCACTCTGACGAAATTGGTCAATTTAACTTGCATATGATGAAAGCAATGCTCCTGTCCTGTGTGATAATTTAGTCTGATTCTTTTGTTACTTGTTTGCTACATTGGCTAATGACCAGCTATGGGTTCTTTTATTTCTGCTTCTGACATTTTAGAAATATTCTCTCTCTGTTGTCACTTAAATGCTATGGCTTGTAAAATTTGTTATCTGAGTGCCTGAAAGTGCTTTGGTGGAATATCTCTTTCTTCCAACAGGTGTGTTAGATTTGCAACAGAGGTTGCTGGGGTTCAGGATCTTGGCATGTTAGGCCGTGGCAGTGGAGAGGAGATTGGAACATATGTTGAAAAACTTATGACAAGTGAGCTTTCTGGAAATGTCATAGATATCTGTCCTGTGGGAGCTCTCACCTCAAAACCTTTTGCATTTAAAGCCCGAAATTGGGAGTTGAAGGGAACCGAGAGCATTGATGTTACTGATGCAGTTGGATCCAATATTCGAATTGATAGCAGAGGACCGGAAGTCATGCGCATTGTTCCTCGTCTAAATGAGGTTAGATTCTGATGGAAATGTTTTGTTGAACTGTATGTGGTTGCTGAGTCTTCAATTTTCTATGGTTTGTATAATTATTTAATTTCTGCAAGGAAAACCATTGTTCCATGTTTGCTGGTGCTTAAGAAGCACTTGTCCCATGTTTTCATGGTGCGAGTTAAGTTGGAAGAAGAATTATTGTTCATTAAGTTGATCTAATATTTTATGCTTCTGGGAAATTTAGGCTATTACTAATAGGCGTTTTTTTTTTTGGGAGCTTTGCTTCTTAGGAAGAGAAGAGGTTGGTTTTTGTTCATAGTTTGCTATTTTTAAAGCTTGTTCTGCTTGCCTATTGCAGGACATAAATGAAGAATGGATTTCAGACAAGACCCGCTTTTGCTATGATGGTTTGAAAAGGCAGAGGTTAAATGACCCTATGATTCGTGGTCCTGATGGACGCTTTAAGGCTGTGAGCTGGCGTGATGCCCTTGCTGTGGTTGCCGAAATTGGCCACCAAGTTAAACCAGAGAAGATTGTTGGACTGGCTGGCAAACTTTCTGATGCTGAGTCCATGATTGCACTAAAAGATTTCGTAAATAAGATGGGTTCAAATAATGTGTGGTGTGAAGGCATTGGCGTAAATACTAATGCTGATTTCAGATCAGGATATATAATGAATACTAGCATTGCTGGCCTTGAGCAAGCAGATGCATTCCTGTTGGTTGGTACCCAGGTATATCTCTTTAGCTTATTTTAGTGAGTTACATCTCTATATTTTAATGTACATATGATCAAATGATTCCTGTGTGTAGAACTTTTTTAAGCACTTTTATTTACATCCTGTAATGTTTTTAACAATCCACATATGTAAATTTAAGTATTCTACGAGTTCTCATTGATATTTTAATTTTTTTTTTTTATTGTTTTTTCTTTTTTGGCTCGTCTCCAGATTATAGATCCTGCTTTTTGGTTTTGCTAGAATCGATTGTTCTATTTTGTTGTCACTACCCTTGGATACTTTCCATTCTCTTTGTACTGTATGAAGCATGAACACTCCTCTTACTTGAGGCGTTGGAGTGCAAGACATATTTCTAATACTGAAAACCCCTTGACTTTTTAAAAAACAACGTAAATTAAACTGTTAAAAACTAGGATAGGATACAAGAATTTGACAAGAACTAGATTGTAGTAGGATAGCATACTAGATAGCATTGTGTTACCCTATCTTGTCTATTTCTCTAACTCAGGCCCTTCCCATAATAAAAATTATACTAAAGAAATAGATAGGATAAGTTCACAGGTTAGATTTATCATATTCTATTAATTAAAAAAAATTAGAGTATAATTACATAAGAAAAGTTCTTTTATCCTGTTCACCAAACAAGCTCTTAATGTCTTTCAATATGTTTTTATGATACCCATTATCATAAAAAAAGTGACAAACTGATTTTATTATCATTTTAGATCTCGTTATATGTAGTGTCTCATTGTTCTATACTAGAGGTTCCTCTGAAGTCTGACACTGACAACATACCGGTGCAGAAAATGGGATTTTCCTATCACTAGGTTTTTTAGCAATACCTTTTTATTTTCACTGGATTTGATCTGTATAACTAATAGTCTTGGGGCTTTTAGGGTGTGGAGGAGGTAATATAGAAGAGAAATTAAGACTATTCAACAATAAAACATTTTTTTGAAGTCTTTTGTGCTCATCTACTATTTACATATAGGGCTAGCATTTTCTATTCTATGCATGGATAATTTTTGCTGCTTCTGCTGTCTTAGATTATCTTATGTGTTCATTCTGAAATTTGCAGCCCCGGGTGGAAGCTGCAATGGTTAATGCTAGAATACACAAGACTGTCAGATCAAACCAAGCCAAGGTTGGGTATGTTGGGCCTGCTACTGATCTCAACTATGATCACAAACATCTTGGTACTGGCCCTCAAACACTTCTTGAAATTGCTGATGGTCGCCACCCATTTTTCAAGACACTCTCAAATGCTAAAAACCCTGTTATCATTGTTGGTGCTGGGATTTTTGAGAGGAAGGACCAGGATACTATTTTTGCAGCTGTTGAAACCATTGCAAAAAAAGCTAATGTTGTCAGACCCGACTGGAATGGCCTTAATGTATTGCTTCTCCATGCTGCCCAGGCTGCTGCACTGGACCTTGGACTTGTTCCCCAATCTGAGAAAAGCCTTGAGTCTGCAAAGTTTGTATATTTGATGGGTGCCGATGATATAGACTTGGAAAAGATCCCGGGTGATGCTTTTGTTGTTTATCAAGGTCACCATGGTGACAAAAGTGTTTATCGTGCAAATGTCATTTTGCCAGCGGCAGCATTCAGTGAGAAGGAAGGAACCTACGAAAATACTGAAGGATGCACGCAACAAACATTGCCTGCAGTTCCAACAGTTGGTGACTCCAGAGATGATTGGAAGATAATTCGAGCTCTGTCTGAGGTGGCAGAAGTGCGTTTGCCCTACGATACAGTTGGGGCTGTTCGATCCCGAATCAGGACTGTAGCCCCAAACCTTGTGCAGATGGATGAGAGAGAGCCAGCCACATTGCCATCTTCACTGAGACCAACATTCACTGAGAAGGTAGACACAACTCCATTCGGGACTGCAGTTGAGAATTTCTATATGACTGACTCAATTACCAGGGCATCAAAGATAATGGCACAATGCAGTGCCATGCTGTTGAAGAAGTGAAGCGTGGATTTTTTTTATTTTTTGGTTTAAATAAAAATGCAGATTCACGATTTTCTTTTCTTGGCATGCAAGACATTGCTCGCCGAGAGCTTCTCGGATGTTGGAAGTACCCAATAATTTGAAATTAGGCCTTTTCTGTTCCATTTGTAATATGCGGTGTAAAAGAACCACTATTTAGAACTGTTGCCATGTACAATTTGGGTTATCCGACTGATTGTGAAAATTTACTTATTGCTCGTCAATTTTCCAAAGCGAGAAAACTGCAGTCTCTAAATCTTACTTCTAACTTGTGGCTTTTACTGCTAAATATGGGTTAAGTCCAAGATTGCATTTGAAATTTTGGGAATTTAGATTGGAGTATTCATAGAGTTCAAACAACTCCAAAGTTAAAAAGGCTGCAACAATATTGTGGGGAGAGAATTCTGATAAAAACGATGTCATTTATGCTTGATTTATGGTTTCTTCTTTTATTTCTGTGGGGTAAAACCCGTTTAGTTCATGCGCTCTTGTTCTGGATTGCAATATTTTATTCGAAGAAGTTCTCTGTTTGTTTTGTTCCTAATTGGCTTGTTTTCATTTGGAAAGCCCAAAAGATGATTTAGCAAAACTAGCGGTCATCACTCATCAAATATCAACCTGAGAAGCTTCTCTCTCTTACTTTACATTTATTGGAGACAACACCTTCGACTTACAAGTACAAACCTTAGAACTGGAAGCATAAACATTCTAAAACACCAAACAAACCGACACTTTATCAGTGAGCACTGGTCTTATTGCGTCAGATTTAAGATCTTTTTAGAAAGTACATACAGCAACAACATAGATGTGTTGAGGGAATATAAACTTAATCCAAGACAGCCAATGATCTCATCAACTCTTCTCTTAGTTCTTGACGTTATGGGTCTGCACTCTGAACCTTTGAACATGAAGAAATACCTGCCTGATTATATGCGCTGTCCCAATTCTTCCCATCAAAATGCTTGATTTCAACGTGGGTCAACGTTCCAGAGTCAACACACTTGAATGAAACAGAAACCCCATCTGGGTTTGAGCGTGGATAATAGAATGAGGTTATGCCACAGATTTTACAAAATGTGTGCTTTGCAGTCTTAGTGCCAAAAGTGTAAGTTGTAAGAAAGTTCCCAGAATCTCCCAAAAGCTCAAAATTGTCAGCGGGTACGATAAAGTGAGTATTGCCCCTCATGTAGCAGTTTGAGCAGTTGCATTCCCATGCCACTACACTGGAAGGAGCAACCACTTTCCACCTGACACTCTTACAATGGCAACCTCCACTATGCACCACTTTTTCAGCCTCCATTTCAGGGTTCTAAACAACCAATGATCATTAATATAACTATAAAGGAATAAGATTTTGAAGTATACTTGTGTGACTTAGGCTTAGTATGGGTAAGCTTCTACAGATATACTTGTAGAAGTAAAAAAGTAAGGAGATAAAATAAATAAAATACTTCTCATACGTCAAAATTAAATATCAACCTCATGTTTTGCATATGTTAATTGAGAAAAAAAATTTAAAATTGAAGAGCATAAGTTGATTTTAACTTATGAAATGAATTTTATTTATTTTATCTTCTTATTTTCTTCTGCTAAAGTTTATCTAAATTGGACCTCAATCAGATTTCAAAATCACAACAAAGGTACAAAGTATGCACAGAAGAATTCAACTTACAGTCAGATAAATGTGTAACTTATCAAATAATCATCCTTACATGACAGAACAGTTTGGAGTAAATATAGTCAACAACTTCAAGACACAATTAAAAGACATAATCATCGGTGGCAGGCACGCGCCCTTCCAAAAATTACACCACATACACATCAACACCATCTATCTATTTATAAGCATGTAGATTATCACAAATTAATCAAAATGCCATGGTCATTGCACCATATACCGATACCCCTTTAATTAATGCAAAAAGTTCTCATAAATGAAATTGTTTAACCCATTACCAGCTAGCTCTCCCATGATATCACCTCTACCAAATTTACAGGAATTTTACCAAATTCTCAATTGTAGGTTTAAACTTTAAACTTCAAACAAAAATGAAAATATTGATAAATGTTTGAAAAGTCATTGCTCAATGAAAGAGAGAATTATTAACAAGTATAGCAGAAAACCTATGCAAGAATCATAATCAAATCAAAGATTCTTAACAATAATCAAACGTTTTTCACCTTTCAGCTGATAGGATCAGATGGGCAGCTAGATATGCTCACCTTATTTGCAGGATGGTAAGCTTGACTTTAGATTAGATGAGAAGAACTGCCTCCACTTTGCTTTTTCATTTGCATACCAACAACACACACACACTACCACCAATATATATACAACGTTGAGGAACTGTTTATTGTCAGACCTGTATATCTATTAACATTTTAATTTAATTTTTTCAATGTAAAATTAAATTACAGCATGAAACACCTAATTATAACAGAAAATTTACACTACAAGATGTATTTTTTGTTGATAAATTATTCATTATATTTAATGAAAACTATAAGGGGCTTTAGTGAGGGATAATTTTGAACATGCAAACACATATAGAAGAAAAATTCGTATATATATATATATCTGTTTACCATACTTTTTCATAATTTTCTAATGTAAAGTTACTCTAAATATTGTGTTTTGAGGCTTTCTTTTTAATTTTTGAATGAATTACGAATTTATATATATATATATATATATATATATATATATGATCAATTTTTATAAATGATTAATCACTTTTCACCTCGTCAAAGGGAATAATATTATCCCTGTGGGTTGAGCTTCCGTGAATAAACTATTTATATGTAGGAGAAAATGATTGGGCCAAGAGGCCGTTTGCTTTTTTCGGTGCAAGAGAAAGACTTATGTTTTGGGCTGTGATTGGGCCACTAATATTGGTCAATGTCTCCTTCAGGACGTAGTTATTTCCTACCTGTGCCTATCTCGCCATCATGGACCTAAAATAAAACCTATCGATCTACATTGCAGTAGTGTTTTATGGGCTCCGTTTGGGCCGCTTTATTCTTTTTTGCTGCTTTTGCCTGCTTTTATATATATAAAAAAGTTATTTTATGAGTAACTTTATTTGTATTTTAAAATGTATATTAAACGTTGAAATAAAGATTATAATAAATTATTAATTTTTATTTGTATGAATTTTTTAAATTCTGTCTATTTAAAAAACGTTTAATTTAATAATATTTATAAAGAATTATTAATTATAGGAGCTCTTCTCAAAATTACTTATTAAATAACTTGATTTTTACCTATATGAAATCATACATACATAAATAAATAAATATATATTCATGATTTTTAATGTCAAAAACATAAAAATAAGTAAATAATTAGCTTATACAAGAATCTAATTGAAACAATACATGCAATTTGTTTATAAAGGTACGTAAAAGCAGGTTTGAACTATAATTTAGAAATGTTAAAGTCAAAGTTCTATTTGAAATATGTGGATTATAAACATTTGGAGGAGAGAGAAAAACAAAGCGAAAAAAGTTCAAAGGTGTTAATTGATTTAGTTAATTCTTCAAATAATTTCACTGAGGGGGATGTGCCTTTAAGATCACTTTAGTTAATATAGATTTTACTTTTAAAATTTGATAGAAGTTTGCCTGAAAGAAGTAAACTAAGTTAATTCAAACATGTGCTATAAATTTATTTTATTAAATTAAAAACTCATAGTTATTGATCACCTGAAATTTAATCAACACAGTACGAGTAAGATAACTCTGATTGTAACGAACCAATGTCTAATTTGTGCAATGCATACGATAAAGCTTCAGTCATAGCAATCCTATTTTGCACCAAATAATATTTTCTTCTCTCTGCGTTTAAATATGTAAATAGTATAAGATTTAAGGCTTGTTAACCTCATATGACCAAGCAATTTCCTCACAAAATGCTACACTCTCAAGTTTATTTTTTGGCTTCCTTAATTGTTTCATTTTCTTTGCCAATGACATCATTGTTGTTTAATGTGATTTATTGCTCAACACCAAATGCTATGACATTAAAATCATCTTGATACTCACAATGGTTTTGTCCATATCTGGATGTTAATATAAAATGCTAAGATTTCCAGGCACCATTCAATGAACTTAGGGTCCCCCCACCCCCACCCCAAGAAGAAAATTATCAATGTTTTAAATGAAAGAGAAGGGGTCCAAATTAAAGACGATATTAATTAGGGACACGTTGCCTTTTTCGGTGAGGTCAAAACGAAACAACAATGTGTTTTTTATTTTTAAAAATTGTAAATCTTTCCTCAATTATTTTTTTTTAAAAGTTTATGTCTGTAATGCATGTATCAACAAGATGCTATACGTGCATTGATAAAGAATTATTTTTTGTGTGAAATTTTATGTTGGGCAGTTTAAACCTATGTTAAGCATAAAGATTGGAAGATCTCAACTCATTTCATGTAAATCATAACTCACTCTTCATTTTAAGTTTATCTAAGAACTAACACTTTTTTTTTTCAAGAAAGAGAAAGATAGCCTTAATAATATGATGATAATGATTATTATTATTCAAAAACACCGACTATTAAGTTAGACAATAAATTTAAATTTTTTTATATTCCATTAATTTATAAAAACCGATCTCATTTTACCCGCGGGATACATACTATTATGAATTTTATATCTATAAATATACCTGTTAATTTAATAATTAAATTTTCAATAATGTTTAAGTTACTTTATTTTAAAAGATTTTATAATCAAAAGAATTAGTTAGATTTTTTGTTGAATTTTTTAGTGGAAAATTAGTAATTTATACATGTTTTTTAATTTATAAAGTATAGAAAAATATTCATATTTAATTTAATAATTGCATCACTCATTTTTATTTACTTATTTGTAAATAGTATTTAATTAGTATGTGGTATCTAACGAATTCTCACAATAATGGAAGAAGGTTAAGTAGCTAAAATAAAATTATCTATACGCCTTTATTTAATAATTTAAAATTTGAAAATCATTAGTTAATTAATTTGTGAACTTGTTTCCTCCCTCTCTCAAGTTTAAATTCCAACTACTTGCACTTATTACTGACAATAATTTAGGGCCCAAACATAAGATAGTTCAATTACAACAACAGCTTTTCTAGATAAACACGAGTTTAACCAACTTTTTTTTTCTTCTTATTTAGATTTCAATGGATGCAACTTTCTATTTAGATTCCTTTAGGTGCCAACACTTCTTCTCTTCTTTTTCTTTTGTTTTAAGATTACAAGAAAATGAAAGGAGGAGGTGGGGGCAACAATTCCATACCCGTTTGGTCGTGTGCTACATACTGTGCTTTGAGAAGGTCATGGAGCAAAGCACATGGCAACCCTAAAAGCACCTTGTGCCTGCTGATGCACCTCTGGGCCACAGAGTGATGACTTAGGGCCCTGTGCTATTTCTAGCTTCTAAGTAATTCAGATCTTTTGACATAAGTTATATATAATAATAAAATTTATTGTAATTAAATGTATTGATACTATTAAATGTTATAATTTTTATATATTATGCAATGTTGCACAAATATAGATTCTATATATCTCAAACTTGTAGATTAATTTTTGTAGGATTAATTTAATTTAATTAATAATTACAATTTCAAATTTTTAAAACACACCTGTGTTTGTGTTAAGTAATAAGGAAAGTTTTAACGTCATAGTAATCTTGTTCAACTAAAGCATCTCACGTGAAAGACAAACTTTGTCACAACTGTTTAAGTTTGAGTTGGATTCACATGCCACATGTAGTTTGCATCAAGTGCCATTTCTACATTCTTGCCCCCCTTTCCTTCTTTGCAACTACGACTCTTAACGTGAATGAATCAAACACTATAAAAAAGGGGGTTAGATCAAATCATATGTTGTTGTACTAAGCAGTTTAAAAGATCTTTAAGAACTAGTCAAAAATATCATTAAAAAGATAAGGACAACAAAAAATACTGTGCTGGAATCTCGGTTGACCCTGGTCCACGGTAGTGACGATACATTGATCAATTAAGCTTCTTTTCTTCCTTTACATGTTTCTCTTTCTAAGTAATCGAGTACTTAGTCCCACTTACCTAAGCTTCAACTTATATTACACGTTTAAACTGCTATTGGATAAGGATCATCACTAGCAACTGCTGAAGGGTAATGAGTGTGTTATACATATAATACATTATATTGTTCCCATATGATGACCCACGTAATATAAATTTCAGGGTCTAAGTATTTTCAGAGCAAGGATTTTTTATATATATGGATATATATCTCTAAGTGGATGTCTCTTCAAAGTGATCCAAAGACATATAACTACCCTTCATTGACTTGTGGAATACTTTAAGCATAAAATCCAAATTGACTTGATGACTTTCATGGAGCTATATATGCTCTTGCTCTCCTTTTCCCTACCCGTTATTAGGGTAAGAAGAGAGAGGGGTCTAGTTTTCATCTATATGGCCAGTAAGCTTGCTTCTGCTACGTGCTAGTTTATGGCTGACATGCACAATGTTGAAGATATAAGAAAGAAAATGATATAAAAGATTGAAAATATAGAATCTTATATTAATTATTGATTGATCAGCAAAGGTAATATATGAAAAAAGAAAAAAAAAGTTAGAAAAGCTAATTCTAAAAAATAATCTAAAATATTTTAAAAACAAGTAAGATAATGCTTAATATTTTTAAGATATTTTAAAACACAAGATCAAATAGCTGTTTCTCCATCAATTATCGTGTGGGACAACTTTTTTTTTCTTTTCATATGCTATACCTAATTCCACTATTTCTAAATAGGATGAGGACTGAACAAGAAATGACATAGATGAAATCTAAAGGGTACATAAATATTTGCCATGTTTGTTAGGGAATATTAAACTTCAGTACGAAAATTATTTGGACCCGCGAATTGGAACTCTTTTTTTATTTTTATTTTTATCAGTAGGAATAGGAACTCTGTTGCATGAAAGGAAATAAGTCTACTTTCTTAAATGTTGTTAGAATTTTTCATCAATTAAAATTAAATATTTATCTTAATAATTTATGATGATATTAAATATAAAATATTTTATTAACATAAAAAATTAATTATAATTAATAAACAACACTTACAATTCATAAACATTAGTATATAAATTTTATCTCATATAAAACTCCTAATGATGGGACAGATATCTAAAATAAGTTATTTACAATTTTAACTGGGTGAAGAATCGAATTTATATATATATATATATATATATATATATATATATATATATATTGAAAGTAAACTATATTATGCTATTTATGTAATTTT